GAGAAAATTTTTTGTAATTTTTTATATTAAAATGCACAAATTGGACAGCCAACATCAAACCCAAGACTAAATAAAAAAGATTTAGGATTTTTTGAAATCATTAATTTATGCCCCTGTTAGACAAATGAATGGCTTCGCCTTTTATTATGATATTATTGTGATAAAATAAATTTTTTAAAAAGTATTATGGGTATTATAAATATCTTCTGATTTAGAAAATTAAAAAAAAAATTACAGCTTTCACATTTCAGTAAATTTAACTGTAAAAATAATCTTTCCATAATAAGTTTTTTTTTAAAACAATATATATATATATATATTAAATAATAATAAAACGTAAACAAATCTGAAATAAGACACTTCGTTATAAAATAATAAAAATAAAAATAATCATTTCCTTAGAAACCTTTTCGTCCAACTGTCCAAGTGTTCTTAATTCTGACCTAAAAAATTCTTTTGTCCTAACTTGTCCTAAAATATCTATATATTTCTATATATTTAGTTCTAAAATTTTCTTTCAAGTTTTTCATGACAGTTTAATTACACATTTTTATTTTATTTTTCTTGCATTTTGTAATATATATAGATATATAATATTATTTTTTAAATATTTAATTATTCATGTGTTGCATTTGCCCCCTCTCAAAATTGAAGCTGGTTCCGCCCCTAGTAATATCAACGTCCCATGTTTTCAATCCTTAATTCAAATATAAAAATTTAAAGTTCATTTTCATTAAAAAAAAGTAGTATATTGCAATTCCTATTTTTTCTTATAAAAAAAATTAAAAAATTAGATCGGATATGATATAAAAATAATGAGGCCCAATGTTCTGTAGTTTAAATGGATTTAAATGTATTGTTAATCTCATATGTCTCCAAAAATTTATATGATGAGCAAGAATCTTAAGATAATATTTAAAGTGGAATTTTTAATAATTTAATTAAAAACCATCCATTCTTTGATTTTAGCAAATTTGTAGGGGCTGTTTGGTTGCTTGAAAAGAAATATGGTATAAAATAAATAAAATGCAAAAGAAATATGATTTAAAGTAAAGGGTTCAGGGTGACATTATTATTATTATTATTATTATTGGTTTGAAGTGATTGAATGTAAAGTGAATAGCAGTAGCTGGAGTCGACGTTGGTCGAAGGAGACGGCGGCTACCGGCAGGCAGAGAGGTGGCCAGCAAGAGGTGGAAATACCCTTGAGTTAGCGGTGTATTTGAAAATCACCCAAATCGACGGAATTCAAAATACACCAAAAATAAACTAGAATGGAATACATTGCATTTATTTTACTTTATCTTAAATTTATTTTTCATCAAACCAAACACCAAAATTATCAAAACTCATGCATTTGGATTACTCTACATCTTAAATGCAGCAAACCAAACAGCCCCATAGTCAAACTTACGTCAACCCATTGGCACCACAAGTGATCCAATCTTAGACCAAATGAACCCAATCAAGCATCTGAAGCATATATGAAAACTTTTGAACCTTAATTGAAAGACCAAATGTTCTCTAATTCTGGCGTGTTCATAGTAGAATTGAGTGGCTCGATGACACAGATCTAATGAGTCAAATATCATTCAATTATGACATTTTTAAGGCACTCAAATGTTGGATAAATTATCTATGATCATATGGCTCAACATGGCATATTCAATAGTGTTTTTTATGTAGGCCAAATTATCAAAATGCCCATCTAAAAAGAGCTATAAATAAGGCCTCATTTGTTGGGGAAGGCAATGTTCAAGAGTTGAGATATCTAAAGAACTTTATTGTATTTCAACTATCATCAACGACGACTACTATCACTAAGCACTACCACCATCGTTAAACTTTTTTCATTTGACTATTGCCACTTAACTATTAATATGTAATCATATTATTGAGCTTTAATTGTCTGCTTGTGGTCAACAAATTTTTGTAATCCCTATAAGGGAATCTTACAATTCCTCTCAATTGCAAATAATCATATATTATTCAATTGTGAAGAAGAGAAGATTATTGTACATACAAGCATATAACAAATTATCACAATTGGGCTAGACCTCATTATTTTTTTCTACTTGAATTTTTCTCATAAAAAATTTGTCCCAAACCGCCGAATTAGAAGCGCATTCGAGGAGGCGCTCGAATAATGTGAAAATGCTGGAGATGATGAATCACTGTCGAGGAAGTGAGCCAACAACCACTGAAAAAAATGGCCAGTGAATGGTCGACAAAGAAAGCTGAATGCAAGATGGGAGCTGCATGCTAGAGGCAAAAGGGAAAGATACATGATTTTGAGGGCAAATGTTTGGTATAATAGTAATTTTGGATTTATAATTACACAAATTTATTTAAAAAGATTTATTTCTAGCCCTTAGATTTAAAATTAATGAAGATTATTTATTCAATTTGTGAGCCGATTGGCTCTATATAATAGTAAAGAGGAAGTGACAAGCGATGGATCAACTAGCTTGGCTTTGGTCCTATCTAAACTTGTAAGTAGATAATGACTAATGTAGAAGAATTTTGCATATTGATAATACCCGATTTTATCTAGCTAGCCTTCTCTTTTCTTATTTCATTGCGACATATATAAATATATACTAAAAATAAAAATTAGTATGATATTCTACAGTATTTAGTTACATGCTCAATGTCATGATGTATAGATCATTGGCATACTTTATAATCCTATTATAATTTAAGAGTATTTTTTATTGCAAGTATTTTGATTTTTTAATTCAGATAGAGTAAAACAGATGCAATTTACTTTGAATGGCTTTTGATAAAAATAAATGCAAATGATTTTTTTTAATATATAAATGCAGAATGGGGCATTCAATATAGAGTATGATATTCTACTGAAATATAATGATAAGATTTTATGATTTATCACAATTTATTATTTTGAAGTAAAATAATTTTTTCGTGTCCTTCATCTCATCAAAATAGAATAAAAAATACATAAAACTATTAGTCTAGTTTTTAATGATTATAATTAAGTTTGAAGTCAAGACACGTGAACAATAATATTTTTGCTCATGGATTATTATTTTATTATAAATTTTAATATTTGAGTGTACATTGTAAAAATGATGGTAATTTTATAAATGGCTAAGATTTTGGTGTTGGGTATGTAATTGCTGCAAATATTTTGGGGCAGTGATAATTCTCCTAAACAGGATTAGATGAAGTCACTGAAGATTAGTGAGATGGAACACACCCACATTGTTGCCTCCAAAATCATAGATACTATTTCTCTTATTCGAACTTACAACAACTACAGAAAAATTGCATGTTCAGTACCAGTGGTGATTTCTGAAGGAAATGACTTCTTTCCGGTGGCATTTCTAATTTCCGACAATTTTTCGACAATTATAATGCTTCCCGAATAAACTGCTGGTTTTCAATAAATTTATTGTAGTGAGCTAAAATGACAGTAAAACACCAAGCACATCACACGAGATGCACTTGACTTCAATACTGATCGAGCTCATTAATTCTTTATTCTTTTTTACTCAAATGCTTGGAAAGTTGTATTTGTAATGTAATTTTGGCATACCTTCGTTTGCTTTATCTTTTTTGTATTCTAATATAGTTGATTTTATATTTTGGTCTCATTGTTTTAATTTTATCTATGCAAGCAATGTTATATCAATGAAAATTTATGTGTGATCCTCAAATTTCTGACAAGAAGCTGACAAAATAAGAAACCATATGTGCAAGTGTTGTCATGGAATTTTTAAAAAATAAAATAGATTAAAATTCAGTCATTATGAGTTTAAAAAAAAATTAAATATGCTTTAAATTAAATATAGCATTAATTAATTAATTAATTTTTATAGTAGTTATTTATATGTCACAAAACATTGTCATGATTAGGCACGAATGTTGAGGCATATTCAAATTAGAAATTTTTTAAATTAAATTGGGACCATTCGAACATCAATTTTAACAAACTTGTAGATAGACTGAACGTCTCAATAACACAAACCCAATTACATCACAATTGGTCCAATCAGAGCTCAAATGGGTCCAAATCAAAGCTTAAAACATATTTGGAAGCTTCAAAATATTATTTGGGTTATCAAATGATCTCCAAATATGACATGCATATTGTTGAATCAAGTGACTTGACAAGATGAATTCAACAAGCTCAAGATCTGTTGATTCTGATATCTTTTAAGCATCTAAATGTTGAATGGATAATTTATGATTGAGATAATCAGTATTGGCTTTTTAATGGAATGCTTCACAATCACTTCATATTTTTTCTATATTCATAGGGCATGCCTTTCATAAAAATTTAGAAATAGACCCCCACTCTCAACAAGAGAGTGAGAGCTTGGACCCTTGGCTAAAGAAGAAAGATACCTTTCAAGCTTGAAGAATCCTGGAGCTTCACGTGAGAAGACCTCTACCTCTCAGTCGTTGGAACTATGCTCAATCGGAGTTGTCAGAAGTTTAATTGATCGACCATCACAAATGTTTAGAAAAATCAATTAAAAAAAATGTAAAACGTTAATTTATATTTAATTGGAATGTTTTCATAATTTTTTCTCCTTTTTGAGTAAAAATATACTATGCACATATCTCTCAAATTTCCCTTAGTAACAATCTTGCTATCAACCATTCTTTAAAGCTTGTGGGTTTACCAACACATCACAAAATTATTATTATTATTATTATTATTATTATTATTATATAAATTATGATTGTGGGTTTTGACTTTTCAGAGAGACCGCCTAATAAGATTAAAAAAAAAAAATCTTTGTCTGTTTTAGTACTAAAAAGTAAAAATGCCGCAGCATGAGTTTGGTCGTAAATTTTTTTTTTATAATAAAAAATATTTAGCCTTCTATGATACAATTTGGTCAGTTTACCCAGCTTTCTTTTTTTTTTTTTTTTTTTGACATTTAGGCCATTTAAGGCAAACTCATATACACAACGCATATACAAAGACTTGAACTCAAGACCTCTTAGTTAGAAGCATACCAACAAGCCAAGGTGAGCTGTGTGTAGTTTACCCAGCTTTAAACCTCGGATTTCCAAAACATAGCAAAGCAAGCGATTACCAACGCCGGTGATGGAGCTTCCGCCGTCTCCATGGCTGACGTACTCTGCAATCCTCACGCTCTTCTTGGCCCTCTTCGTCATAGCTTTCATCAGCGGCCGCCGGCGACGGAACCTTCCTCCCGGGCCACGGCAGTGGCCAATCATCGGGAACCTGAACCTCATCGGCGCGCTTCCACACCGATCCATCCAAAAACTCTCCAAGAAGTACGGCCCGCTCATGCAACTTCAATTCGGTTCCTTCCCTGTAGTGGTAGGATCCTCTGTTTCCATCGCCCGCCTCTTTCTAAAGACCCACGACCTAGCCTTCGCTGGCCGGCCTAATACCTCCTCCGGCAAGATCACGGCCTATAACCGTTGTGGCATCACGTGGTCAACCTATGGACCCCACTGGCGTCTGACGCGTAAGATGTGTGCATCAGAGCTCTTCAGTCCTCGCCGCATCGACTCCTTCGAGCACATTCGCTCCGCCGAGCTGCGCGGGCTTCTTCGCCGCCTCTTCGACGCCGCCGGTGAACCCCTCCTCCTTAAGGACTACCTCTCCATTCACAGCTTCAACGTCATCAGTCGCATGGTCTTAGGCCGCCGGTACCTTGACCCCACAGACGAGGACCAGTTGAAGCCCCCGCCGCCGGTGTCGGAAGAGGAGTTCAAGAGGCTTATGGATGAACTGTTCATCCTTAACGGCGTGCTGAACATTGGCGATTTCATCCCATGGCTAAATTTTCTTGATTTACAGGGCTACATTCGCCGGATGAAGGCCTTAACCCTCAACTTCGATCCTTTTTTCGAGCACGTTCTGGATGAGCACATCAGCCGCCGAGTAAAGGAAAGAGATAATTTTTCGCCCAAGGATATGGTTGACGTCCTCCTTCAGTTCGCGGAGGATCCAAGCCTCGAGGTCAAGCTCGACAGGAACAGCCTCAAGGGTATAATACAGGTAATTAATTTTTAATCAACACGTTTCATGCATTTCATATTTAAAAGAACATAATTGCATATAGTGAATTTTTTTTTTTTTTTTTTCAGGAAAAAAAAAAAATTGCATATAGTGAATTTTTTTTTTTTTTTTTTTTCAGGATCTAATCGCCGGCGGAACAGAGACCTCCGCGGTGACGGTGGAGTGGGCGATGTCGGAGCTTCTGAGGAAGCCAGAGATCATGAAGAAGGCAACAGAGGAGCTTGACGGTGTCATCGGCAGGGAGCGGTGGGTGGAGGAGAAGGACGCCCAGGACCTCCCTTACATAGAAGCTATCGTGAAGGAGACGTTGCGGTTGCACCCTGTTGTGCCATTGCTCATCCCTCGCCTAGCCCGCGAGGACGTCGTCATCGACGGCTACGACATCCGCGCCGGCACACGCGTCCTCGTCAACACGTTCGCCATCCAACGGGATCCCACCATTTGGGAAGAGCCCGACGAGTTTCTGCCGGAGAGGTTCCTCGGCCGGGATATCGATGTTAAGGGTCATCACTTCGAGCTACTGCCATTCGGGTCTGGGAGGAGGATGTGCCCAGGCTACGCAGTCGGCCTCAGGGTCATTCAATCCAGCCTCGCCAACATCCTTCATGGCTTTAACTGGCGACTGCCCGATGGAATCAAGGCGGAGGAGCTCAGCACGGAAGAGATATTCGGCCTTACCACGCCAAAGAAGGTGCCTCTTGTGGCTGTCGCTGAGCCCAGGCTGCCGCCAAAGATGTACAGAATCTGCTCTTGACTCTATAGTCTGTACTATTGAGCCGGGCCCGAAGAAAGTAATATGTAATATGATAATTATCGTGAGATATTATATAAATGTTAGTCTCTACGTACTTAGTGCCAATTGCGTCGTATTTGGAACCTGATATATAGTGTGGCTGAGATTAATAAATAAATAAAGAAGTTCTGTGTTCTCCGTTTCAGTCGTTAATATCTGTTGAGAAATTTCAGGATTGCATGTTGAATTTTTTTTTTTAATTATAAGCGATCAAAGTTTCATAGCTTTTTTGGTTTTTGCACACAGCACACATTTTTGCGTCGAATAGTTATAGTGTAAAAATAGTATATTTTAAAATTAATTTGTCTTATCCGCTAAATTAATAGAGAAATAGTGAAGAAAAAGAATTTTAATGTGATAGTTTGGAATAGGGGCAAAATTAAGCTCGAGTCACATCTAACTCAACTTAGGCCCTTCAATTAACAATGAGCTCGAGCTAGAGTTTATGTATAGAACTCGAACGGAGCTTTTGTATGAAATTCGGGCTCGACTCGGTAAAATAAATGCAAGCTCGACCTTGACCGGTTCATCGAAGTTGGTTGGATGTAGATGCTCGTCTCCGTTGGATAGGCATGTGGGAGAGTGATGCAGTGGTAGCTCATGCGGGAGTCATCGAGGTCCTCGATGCGGGAGAGATTATTCTATGGGGATGCCAGATTCGAGAACCATTCGGTACCGCTCGGTATCAAGCTCCATATATTTTTAAAAATGACTCATTTTTATTGGCCTATGCCGAGTCCACACAATAATTTGTCTCCATGCGGACGTCGTGAATGGAGGGTTGAGTGGACTGCATTTAGTTTCTTCAAAAGAAAAAAATGCTTGTCAGAAAATTTTTAGTCGTGCAGCTAGTTTAATGACAAAGCGGCTTACTCATTAAATTTATTTAACTCTTCTGACAAAGAAAATGATAGCACCGGTAGCTTCTGAATTTTATTTTTATAAATTAAACAAAACCATTTGATGAAGAAAATTACAATAGCGTGTTTAATTTTTTTAAATATCGAAAGTAATATTTAAATTATATTTTAAAAACATGACCTGACTTAGTCTAGTAATTATATCAAACTCGTACTCAAGATTGTTTACTGTTTGAGCTCAACTTAATTTATACTTAAGCTCGAGCCAGTTCGAACTCAAACTTCTTAACGAGCTCATTAAGATTGTTTACTGTTTGAGCTCACGAGAAAAGATTTGTTAGAGAGATGAGATATGCTGTAGAATATTCTCAAGGTTTACTGTAGAATATTCTCAAGGTTTGGTTAATATTTTTATGCACATGCAGAACTTACAAGACATTAAATATCATGAAAATAGAAGAAAAGATGGTAAAAATCCAGAACTAAATAAATGTAGACGAGAAAAGAATAGTAATGTGGTATACAGTGGAAGACGTATGTAGTACAAAGTGTATCACAAAGAACTAAAAGAGAGCAAAAGCGTTAGCTTCAAAAAATTGTATTATCAAGATATGAGGGATCATAGTAGTCAACGGGCAACAAAAGGGATCACAGTCGGCGGGCGACAGTTGCTGGAGGTAGGGGTGTCAATTCGGGTCGACGGGTCGGGTTCGGGTCGAACCCGAGTTGACCCGGCTCTAAACGGGTCAACCCGAACCCGACCCGTTTTTGCAAACGGGTCGACTTTCTAAACCCGGACCCGACCCGCGCGGGTTGCCGGGTTGACACGACCCGACCCGTCGACTCGAGGCAGAGGCAACAGCGACGTCGTGGCAGGCTGGTGGCGGCGCAGCGACGACGGCAGTGGGCTCGCGAGCACGAACGCGGAAGCGAACTGCGTCAGGCGGAGCGGCGAACCGCGGGACCAAGCACGCGTCGGCGTCGCCGGCGTCCGACCGCGGCAGTTGGCTGTGAGCCTGCGAGGCTGCGACTGCGAGCACGCGTCGCGATTGCCGAAGCAGCGGGCAGCGGGTACGCGTGACTCACGAAGTCGCGGACGCGATTGCCGAAGCAGCGGGCAGCGGGTAGGGCTTGCAGCGGGCAGCGGGTAGCAGGCAAGGGCGGGCCTAGGCGGGAATAAGGGGAATTCAAATTTTTTTTTAAATAAACGGGTTTTCGGGTTGACCCGGCAACCCGACGGGTCAACCCGAACCCGAACCGTTTTGTCAAACGGGTCGACTTTCTAAACCCGAACCCGACCCGTTTTTCAAACGGGTCGGGTCCAACCCGGATTTTCCGGGTCGGGTCCGGGTCGGGATTTCGTGTCGGGTCAAATATTGACACCCCTAGCTGGAGGGATCGTAGTCGGCGAGCGACGGTGGTCCAAGAAATCGTAGTCAGTGGGCGACTGTGGACAGAGGGATTGTAGTTGACGGACTCCTAAGGTCAGAGGAATAGAAGTAGACAAGCGACGATGCTCATAGGGACCGTACGTAGTTGGTGGGCAATAGTGGTCAAAGTGGACATTAGTCGGCAGTCGGGCGGGGGTCCATAGGCATTTGCCAGACTAGCAGTTATCTGGTGATGGTCAGCAAATGGGTGATGGTCTGACGACTGTTGGCAACTGGGCGGTGGTGAATGGAACTTCGTCAACGACAATGCTTAGGTAGAACTATATGATCCTTGAAGCCTCAGAACTCTTTGGAATCTTTAGCTAAAGCTCTAGATTGCAAAGGTCCAAGCTCCCACTTCATGTGAAAAGAGAATGTCTATTTATAGATTTTGAGAGTGATATGCTCCATAAATATGGAGAAGATTTAAGATAAATTTGGAGTGCTCCATTAGTTGACTCATATTGATTCCCTAGATCATAAAGCAATCATTAAACATATTAGTGTCTTAATGATGTCGGAATTAAGCGATTTTAAGCTCCTTGGATTCATCTTGTTGAGTCGGTCGATTCGACAGTAAGCATGCTATATTTGAATATCATATAATTTATACTTTAAACCTTCCAACTGAGCTTTGGCACAATATTTGGACACATTTGGGCTCAAATTAAGCTGATTTCTTTGTCGTTGAGTTCCCCATCTCACTTAGACGTTCAATTTGACTATAAATTTGTCGAAAATGGAGTTATGATGTTCCCATTTTTAATTTTGAAAGTTTTCAATTTAAATATAATTCGCACTCAATTGAGATCATTTTTTATGACGTATCAAGACAAAAATTCTAATTTAAATCTAATAAAAAATGATCAAATTTAATTAAAAAATCAGTTTTTTTATTGTTTAACAATTCTTAAGTTTTTTTTTTTTTTGGAAATTAAGTTTAAGTTTGAATACGGTACAATAATTTTTTTTATTGGAATGACTTGTGTCACATCTTCTCATTTTATTTAATTATATAAATATTTCAGTGTATTTTCCAAGATCAACGTTTTTCACATGTGGGAGACGAAAAGCATAATTAAATAGTCTCTTTTTCTGTGCGTGGATCCAAGAGGGCCTATGCGATAATTTTTAAAAGGAACATATTTGATGTAGGCGAAATTTTTAAAAGGAGCAAAATTAATAAATGTATTAGGATTAGGAGCATGAAATTAATTAAATTTAAAAAGGAGCAGAAATGCGATCATGCATTGCGTTTTCTGAAGAAAACGCATTTTCTGAAGAAAACGCAAAGCAGGATCGCATTTTCTGAAGAAAATGCGATCCTGCTTCAGAAAATGCGATCCTGCTTTGCGTTTTCCATACAAAACACAAAGCAAGCTCACGCCTCATGTGAGGCTTCTTAGTTCTCTAAGCAGCAAAAAGAAATTATTATTATAGTTTTAATAAAGTAAAGAAAAATTATAATAATCACTATTATTTAATCCCTCTTCTGTTATGAAGAAAACGGAATGCATCTTTGCATTTTCTTACAAAATGCAGGCTTACTTTGCGTTTTGTATGGAAAACGCGTTTTCTTCAGAAAATGCGTTTTTTTCAGAAAACGCAAAGCATGATCACATTTCTGCTCTTTTTTAAATTTAATTAATTTCATGCTCCTAATCCTAATACATTTATTAACTTTGCTCCTTTTAAAAATTTTGCCTTTGATGTATGACCAAGGAGAAGCGTCGTAAGTAAAATTAAATTTAAAAAAGATAAAAACGTAAAGGGGATTTGCATTCGAAATCACGTTTTCATATAAAACATGAATAGTGATCACGTTTTCTATTAAAATGTGATTTTATATTATATTTTTTCATGTTTTTTACTGTTATTAATTATTATTTTTTGATTCTTTTAAAAATCCACTTCATTCTTAAAACATTTAATAAATAGTTTTATTTAAATATTATAAATAATTTTATTTAAATATATTAGAAATAATTTAACTTTTAAATTGTTTATTCGTATATTATTGAAAATTTTATTTATTTAACTAAAATAAATATTGATAATTTTTAAACCGTAAATAGCGTGGAAAATCGGGTCATAATCCGGTTTCTGCGTATACCCGAACCTGACCCAAAATTTTAAACAGGTCAAAAATAGAACCCGAACCCAACCGGTTCTAAAACTAGGTTCATCGGAACCTGAAAATTTCGATTTGGGTTCGAGTCATGTTTTCATGTCGTGTCTATTTTTGACACCGTACCCCTGCCAATACCCCTGTTAGGCGATGAAACATGCCCCTCCAACCAGTTAGAGTGATCCAATGAAGTATCCTTCATGTTCAATGACAATTGAGCATTGAAAGCATCATTTAATATAAAAGAAATTAGAACATCTATAAATGGCTCATTTCCAAAGAAGTTAAAGGAGAATCCTCATTAGCAATAGAAGATGCATTCAGCATTGACACATTAACATGGCCAAAATCCTTTTCAACAACACTAGGTATAGCCATTGTTTGAATAGGGATTACATTCAAATCAAACCCCACACCATATGGATAAACAAAACAAGCTTGATCCAATAAAGGAGAAGTATATATGCTGATTCATAACGTAATCAATTAGGGCCAAACCCACACTATGATCCTTATCCGAGACAGAAACAAGAGCATGAATAATCATAGGGTCTAAAGAACCCAAATCAAAACCTCAGACTACTGCCCGACATCAACAACAATAAAATGATTAAGCATTATTTCATTTCCCAAATGACCCACTACCCCAGGATCCATATTATCATTCAAGGAAAAGCTAACACAACCATTGCTTTAGACATTATCAAGTGCATCATCAGAAGACATT